CGACGACAGGGACAGAATGTGTTCAATGTTTGATAACCATTGAGGAATGAGAGGTTGGGTGGCCACACATCGATCAGTCGCGTTCGGTTTCGGTCGGTTGCCACCAATTTTCGATGGCAACCGACTCAACTCATGTATTCAGCACTTTCTTATCTTTCCAGTTTGTATGATTCGAATAATTTGCATTATTTCACAACAGCACTATCAAATAGAATATATAAGAAAATAGAGGATGGAATGAAACACCAAACAAAACACTTTCAGGCATGGGCATCACTCATCTGAATATGATGCTTCATGCGTAAAAGATGTAACAGTTCCTAAAACTGTAAGTTCTTTAAGAAATACGTATCGTAAAACCTAAATCGTTGATCGTCGTTTGTTAAATCTGTGAAAACAACTGAGGAAAACTTGGCTTGCATTTTGGTAATGCAAGCGAAAACAACTTATTTGATCTGCATTTTGGCAATGAAATTCCCTAACCAGGAAGGAAACGGCGGGACCACGAAAACAACTGAGGAATTGTGAGAATAAGCATTCGCTCCACAGTCATTTCGTTACGAGTTTTTTTTTTTTTTTTTTGCAGAATTAATAACCTGTCTACGCTTACGAGTTATGTTCACTTGGAAAATTCCTAACATACTGAAATTGTAAAGACAGTAATGGCTACGCGGCCATAGCTCTATATGATGTGTCAAACTTCAACCATTGAACAATTTTTAAATTGGTGCCCAATATTGAACAGAATGAACTTCGAGATCAATAAGATTCATTCATCGCTTAGAAAATTTTTAGCATTTGGAGTTGCTGATCGCTTTATGCATGCTATATGCGGTATGAGCTGTGCTTTGTTTGGAACAACAGGTTTGTGTAGATGGTGTACTAGGCGGTGTTAGATTTTGCGAATGTTTGGCCTTTCACTTTTGCTGCATCTCCTTTATATCCTTCAACACAGTTGTGAGCACTCGCGCACAACTGCAGATGTATCCTTCCAGGACTGGGAAAAGTTGAACCAAGGAAATGTGACGGGGAAAGTTTTATGCGTGAAAGTTGAACAGGAAACCAAAAATAACTGGAAAGTTGTTGATGGTACGCCCAAAATGATGTGGTTGTTGAACTTGATACTAGAAAACATTTCAAAGAATCACTGAAATACAAGTGAATAAAATATGTGTGATGCGATGATGTTAACACCAGATTAATAGCAGTGTCCATTAACTTCTTTGCAATTCATCTGTGAATAAGTTGCGTGAAATGTTCATGAGTGGCCATAAACAAAATGAAACATGTAAAGAATATTTATTGAATGGTTTCGGCTTCAGCGATGAATAACGTACAACGAAATGCATGCACATATTACACAATTCCAAATAAGATGGCAGGCAGTACAATATCGAAACTCGTATATATCACGAATACACTGTCAAAAAAAATCCACATTTGATGCACGTACATCCATTTAAGATTTATTCAACCTTATTATAATATCATACATACATTAATGTTACGAGAGAAACGCTTGCAAATGCAGCTTAAAAATACGATAATTAATCCACTCCTTAAACGATTGAATTGGGCCGGCCGGCCGATTAATAAAGTTTTGACGCTTCTTTTTTTCTCAACAATTTTTCAAACCTCATCACAGATTTTCGTTTCCTTACAACACTGAAGAGCAGAAAGATTACCTTACAGAAGAAAAAAATGTCAATATTCAATGTTTTGTTAAACTGTAACGTATATATATGACCGGGTACACACGAATGCATATCTTATGAGTGAACCAAACGATTCAATTATGCAACTGTTAACATAATCAAACAACTAAGTTTCGGTCAATTCATACATTGATATTGAATTACTCACTACATTCTTGTTATGAATACTGGAGATTTATGCGTTTATTCAGAACCACCTGAATCGATTACTTGCATTTGGGTTTCTGAAGTCCAACCTCACAAAAAAAGCCACCAAACTGAGAACTAACTGATGGCTCAGAAAGAAGTGATGATGACCATGGGAATCACAACAACTTATCTTTATTTCATTCTCCACACAAATGGCAGCTGGCGCTATGAGCACGGATGGTGGTTGACATATCGAAAAGTAGATCAAAAAAGCCTTCGACGCTATCAGATAACATATTTAGTTCAAAATAATGCATAACCATACGAGAAAGTTCACCAATTTTACACTTGCTGGATAATTTTTCGAAGAACAATAGAAATACATGTTAATGTCAGCAATTCGTCGCCTCTCTTCACGTCAAAAAAAAACAAATCATGTTTACTGATTTTCTGAAGGGCTGATGTAATGAGAACCAGAACCGAAACTTGAACGGCTAACGTTATTTGACAGTGGAATATTTTCAACTTGAACGAATCTGCTGTCTAGCGGTAAATGGACATTCTTTCAATGTCACAACCTCGTCCCAGTGGAAGACAAAAATGGCAACAGGACATGTTGTTGTGCACAGAGTGTGTTACGTGTATTTGTCGAGCAAATGAGATGTAAGCAGCAGCCGCAAGTGTTCGAACAGAATGAGAAGCAAAAGCTGTAATAGATTCAGAAATGATACATGAACGAACAAAGCAACTGCTGTCTCAGCCAAATGTTTTCAAGAAGTTGATGCACTGAAAAATGCGTTTTCGAGAAGAACGACGATACTGATCAACTTTACTCAATCCATCAAACTTTCGTAGAACAAAAGAAGCTGAAGGCAACTAGCCAAAAACTGAAGCCAAACCAACAAATGAAGCCAACCACAAGGATACAAAGAACTGAATGAGTAGGTCATTTCTGGGAGGGTATAATTTGCTGATGGATGATCTCATTAAATAAAAATAATATCAATGATCAAGGAAGGAAAATGTTAAAGAGAACATTCGCAAAGAAGAAGTTCCATGTGAATCAAAACAAACATCTACATCTCACTGATGTCAATCACAAAACAACTTGTCTTTTGCGATTCTATGTCAAAGAGCACTTTATTAAGAACTATCACCAGTAGCTTACACAATCGACATTAATCGACTCATCGTCAGTACAATTGGCCCACCCACGTCGTTGTGAAAAAAATTCACATGAGCAGCATCTCATGGCGTTCCAGTAGTTAGGAAAAGTTCGGTTTACACGAACGAATTAACAGTTGGTTTAGTCTGTGATATTCTACAAATGCAACACAATAAGGAACGTGACTATCCAGTCAATCACCTCGCCTATGAGCACAATGTAGAATCAAAAATCAAATTTACTATTCAAAAATATAATAAGAGTAAGCAACGGAACAGTATACACTGGTTTCATTCATTCGCTTTTTATTGCTCGAAATAATTTATGCACACATTATGAAGTGAATATTTTCGTGTCGAAAGTAATCAATTGCCGATAAATACAATGTTGATCAATCAGTTGATCAATGCACTAATCACTCAAGCTATCCATATACCAACCAATTATTCGGTCAATCAACTACAGAAACAGCAGACTTTTCAAGTGATCACGGTCAAAATGGTAAACACACAGAGGACGATTAAGACGAATCAACAGAGAAAATAATAAAGATACTAAAAAAGAAGAAATTAGTGTTATCAATAACAAACAAGTACCGTGAAGGATGCAGTGAGATTTGATACTGAATATATCACGGAAAATCGATAATATTTGCACTCTGGATAGCTTGACAAGCAAGAGATGTTTGACGAATAGCAAAGAAATACTAACGAAGCATCGGCACAAAATATAGTGTCAACAAATAAGGCACAAACATGGCTATAATTTATGGAATTGTTTCAACACAAATTCAACACAGTGCTATAAATACTTATCAGCAGAAATTTACAAATTTAGACCATCTGGATGGATTTTATCGCAAGTAGTATTGCATTGATATTAAATTGCTGGCATTCCATAAACACCGAGTATAAGTCAATGTGCGGCTATCAAATTTCGAAACAAATTCTTCGGCAGTCATGCACTCACGAACAGTGATTAACGTGGATGAATTGTAACCGATATGAAACATCCGAAATCATTGATACGAACCACAACGAAGAAATGATTTCAGTTCAGGAAAGTGTAAGTAGAAGTGGGTGAGATGGAAGCGTAAAAGGAAAAAGGTGAAGAGGGAGAGGAAACTAATTTTGTATGTGGACAGAATCTTTGAGTGATCATTATATCGTAAGTGTACAAAAATGAGATTCAAACAAGAGCACAAACTGAGGAAATATCGTGCCATCAGTAAAGTTGTACACCACGGAAAACAACAATATAATAAATCGCTTTGTACATTTATCTGTACACATACATCACGAACAGAAGTATTTGGGTCGATATATTATATTTAGCAGAAACTACACTTCTCATCGAACCTATCTCCAAGAAAGTTCCTTCCATTCATGATCAGTGCAAAACTGGTTGTAGGTTCAGTAATGAAGAATGCATCAAATGCAGTTTACATATTAGAAACATTTTTCTATACATACTGACTTGATACAAGCCATAAATGATCAAATTGTGCACAACAATATATAAGCACACAACCGAGTAGACTATATCTTAATAAACTGTCGTAAAATTAAGAATATTATCACTGAAATGAAATGAGGAAAACTTGATCATGCATCGAAATTTCGTTTCTCTGGCTTCTTTCGTAAATCACACTGACGATACTAGATGATAAGATGAGGCTGGTTAAATACTTTTTGACAATCATACAACTAGGTGATACAATTTAGAATGGAAATGTAGGAAGAGAAAAATTATTGAACAACTGACAGTAAAAATGATTGAATTTGAAAATCATACAAAGCGATGACAGTTCGATTGGATATTCAAACATAGTTTTTCAATAAAGGCGTACAATACACGTGTACTGATTGAATGCATATGAAATTTACAAACTAAACATTAACACACTCGAATTTGAAGGCATCATAAATTTGTTGATGACGACGAGATGAAGGAAAAGAAAATTGAATGCATACATTTCTTGCTGTTCTGAATCAGAGTGCTGTGATTTCAACTTCGGGAACTTCGTCGAGCAACGTTCCTTCGATGCTTGAAGTCAACTGCTGTAGATCATCGCTTGTTGTGGCAATACTGTCAACTGATAACTGAAACAATCAAAAAGTATTGCATTTCTCTATTTCGAAATGATACAGTGACTGGTAAAAAAAGCTGTCGGTTATTGAAGGATGTTCTGAAGAGACTATTCTGTTCTGCAAAATACACGAGACGTTTTCACTGTTTGTGTAGCGAGCAGTTTGAAGCGTTTCATGTAAGGGATCGTGTTCAGGATCATGTCAGTGCATCTCAACGCCAGTGACCATTTTGTTAAGATGAAAAATTGAAGGCTTCAGACATTTAAATGCGATGTTAAGCTCAAGCTAGCTTAATAACTGCAAGATCTAGTAAGTATCACTTAACTGTAAAAAGAAAAAAGTCTCAAAGAATTAATTCTATAACAAATCAAAATTGATCTGCATGAGCTTCAGATAAGATCTCACGGCAAATTTCACCAAAACAACACTAATACCATATTCGAAAACGCTTATCGGTATTCAGATTATCACAATAAAGGCATAAATTACAATACAACATTTTAAGAGCTAGGACACGACCAATTAATGATGCACATGCAACAAACAGGAGATTGTGCATAACACTGCTAATTCTTTAAGAACAGAAAACAGCACATTGAAATCGATTCCAACTTCATTGATTTCTTTCTGGAAAGCTTACCCGAGGGCTAAGATGGATTGATTTTGGAAAAAATTCTGTCGATTTAGTAGCTTGCAGGATGAATTCAAAATTTTGTTGAATTTCAAGTTTCTATAATAACAATCGTTTCAGTGAATCATTCACCACACGAAAATCCTTTCACTAGGGCATTCGAACATAAAACAGTAAAAACAACAATTTTTGCAGAATCGTAGAAATTACTTTCCTGTAGCATTGAAAAAACTAATTACTTGTCGGCAAGAAATTCTTCTAAAAAACGTATGATTATCCTTATTCGTTAATTCACTGTTTGAAATATGTCTTGAACGGAAGTTATTTGTCAAATTATTACCGTAGAGATTGAATTGGCAATAACAGAAGCTGCACGGAGGATGAACGTAGGATCACATAAGATAATGTTTGAGGGTAAAAATTAGGAGTTTTTGCATACTTGCAGCAAATGTTTTAAAAGCCTCAGCTTTACACGAGATATTAAGCATGCGAGAGATATTAATAATAAACATACTCACATATAACAAGCTGCACATGCACAGTTCAATTGCTATTTTTGAACTACCAGTACTAATAATTACTGATGTTATCACATCAATGCCATCACTATTAATGGGATTGTGAGCAATCAAATGTTCACCCGAATACGCATATGAATGTTCACAAAAGTGAAGAAATTAAAAGATGTCCCCATGGATATTGTGATCTTCATTTCTCCCTATCTCCTACCGTGAAAGTTTTTGCCTTCTTTACAGGTGATAAAAATCATAATCACAAAAATAAATTATCTCAAGTTCAAAATTTGAGCAAAACTTAAAGAGTGATTTTGAACACTTATCATCAGTTGTTTCATGTGCAACGAATCAATTGCGTTAGACATGAAAACGTTCTTCATTCGACAATAAGTCAACAACCATTAATACAGCGAAAACAAGAAAGCAACCAATCGTTTCATCAGGACAACACATCCATTTCATCATACATAAAGTCCCAAACCTAATGAAAAGTTATGTTCAAAGAGGGTATTTGTAAGTTGAAAGATTCTTTATTCCAATCCAGTGAGCCTTATTTACGTATATAATAGCTACATCTGGATCTCATCTCGAATATTGGGCAATTTATAGATTGCAAACGTATGGCACATCAGTGATGGCACTGTACCACGTTTTTGGTTCAATTCTGTACTGTCAAAATCGAATTTTCAAAAAAGATAAATGCACTGTATTGTACCGAGCAGGTGATTTTCCAAGAACGCTACGTGTACTCTACTATAATACATCCCAAAAATACAATGTATCTGTACTGCACTAAATGTAACCGCGATTATAAAGTTATTAGCACTTAAGTGAATCAAGAAATGCCCGCAAGTTTGCCATAAATTTAAGTTTTGATCCTCTGCCTCGTATGCTTACAAGTAGATAGATGTATTCTTGGGCATTTCCACTGAAAGTTTGAACTAGATCCTTCAATTCCTCTCGATGATGCTGTAGTTTGAGCATTTATGTTGCAATTGCATTTTCCGTGTAAAAACAGCATAACGGCAGTTTCCATTATAAAACACTTTCAAATTCATCTTTTATGTTTGTAGGCTTATAAATTATGTTGCATTCGTGCTCAGTTAAGGTTGAAATCAATCGGTTGATTATTTTCATTGGTGTTACCTTTACAATATGGCTTTCCCGCTACCAGTATGCAGCAATGATGCAATTTCGTTGGCAGGAAGTTGGCCATCCATCCACTATCAAATCTCATCATACAAGCACAGACACGTTTAAGGATCATAATACTTTCGTAACGGCAAATAACCGAATGCCGAAATCGACGCGAAGGCCCCTTAACAAATCGCCAAAACTTTCAGCGACTGGTGGTTTACCGAAGACTTCGGCAATCGGCATCCCCAAGAATTCCAGTAAATTGCCAAAATGCATTTGGTTAGCAGATGGCCGACAGAACAGTGACTGCCGAAGGCGATCTGCACATCACCGAAACTAGTTTAGCCAACTTCCCAAACTGTAATCAATTTCAGTCACTGCCATTGGACCACTAATTTTGAACTCATTTTCCGCATGAACTGCCCTTGTAACGCCCATGGTTGGGTCTTAAAAGGAATATCAACAATGATCCGATAGAACCAAAACTTCCCCTGAAGATGCGCAACTCGAAACCGATACAGTACTGTACATTACGCGACCTTTTAAGTACTTACTATACATTGCTGTACTTCGCATAAGTCACTCTGGTACAATAACACTTTACCTCGGTACATTACGTTACAGCATGGCACAGTACAAAAAGTACAAATACTTTCCGGTACATTGACATCACTGTGGCACACTAATTTTATTGTCTTAATCGCCTGTAAGACTGTCTATATGAAGGACATTCGCAGCTCACAATTGGAAGGTTGGGGACTTTCTGTATAAATATGCACGAATGGAGGACCATTAAAAAGTTATTTCTCACTTTAAAAAATTCATAACTTACACGCACTTGGATCAAAAGCTTTGTCCTCACACGCTTGTACACAATTCACAGTCGATTTGTTGGCTCAGCACTCAAATATTTACAATTCTTAGTCTTAAAATGCTTATTCATATGCGAAGAAATCGATGGAGGTTCTTATATTACATAATGAACAATCGAATCAATTGGGCAATAATTTGAATAGTCCGTCAAAATGATATTTTTAAAGAATGATACTAATATGGAATTGATGGAAACCAACAAAGGTGCTTGCGACTGTGATCTATATCAACTAGATAGCAACCGTCAAACTTCTTCACTAGTCATTCACAGCAAATCTTCGTTTTAATATTCAATGATCAAGGTAAATCCAATAATTGGAACGAAGAAGCTAAATGATCCTCTTATAGTCTAGCATGGGATATGCGAGATATAGGATATGGGATATGTAGGATGAAGAGTACTGAAAAGATTTGCATATTTTCATCTTAATCACATTATTGATAGCTTTGTTGGACTTAAAAATGGAGCTTCCCAATAGTATGAAGTACAAAGCGAACTAAAATTTCATTTATTCTGCTATAACAATGTCTAGAGGGAGAATTTGAGGGAAATGTTAAAAAATAATGAAGTTATAGGTAGAATTAAGAGGAGATATCACATATTGAGTGATTGTTTCGTGACCAGAAATATAAAGAAATTGCTTGGTACGACAAAGTTTTTGGGTAATTAGGAGCAAAAAATGTGGTAAATGTTTTGAAAATCATCACCACGATTGCGAGCCATATGCGGCGAATGAACCAGAATGTAATGATGATCCATGAAATTTTGCAATCCACCTATCACTGCATACAAGCGTTGATAGATCGCTAACTTTCAAGAGGTGTTCAAAGATCCATAACTATTCATCAAAATGTACTGTCAGTTTAAAAAAAAAACTAAATCAATTGCGTCTATACTGAAAGGGAATCAGTTCTCTGCGTCTATACTGAAATTATGTGTTCAATTGAAAACAATTTCCGCAAAAGTTCATCGAAAAAAAAATTGCGTTGAAAGAACGCGCAATCTAAACTGTTCCGCCTTAGACGAACAAAAAACGACTTGATGCAGCAGCGACTTTTTAGAGTGAATTTTTGAAGTGGAGTTCAGACGGATTGCTTTTGGATCGGAGTGCATTTTTCTGGAAGTTCCGAGTCTCGAAAATCGCGAAATATAACTCCCTAGGGATATACGATTTGATATAGCCACCTTCCAGAACAATTTTTTTGAAGCGAGATCTCGCATGGATAGTTTCTGGTTCAGATAACGCATTCTTCTTCGCTGGGATCCTAGAAACTCACCTATTGGAAAAAATTCACCTCTCATATGCTGGACAGGCTCGACAGATTATATGTAGCAGTTACATGGAGAAGAATACTGAATGGTCATACAAGATGGAGCGTTAGAAATGAAAAAAAAATGTTTGGAGCGATAATGGGGAAATGCAAGTAACCTCTGAACATTTCGAAGATGAAACACCAGAAGATAGAGATGCTTCAGAGGAGGATGTCGCAAACGATTGTTCATCAGCAGAACGCACGTCATTAATGAGTGCTTCAACAAGACCTTCATGTGAGAGTGACTCTATTGCGGCCATATCCATCTTCACCTGTGAGTGTAATTAATGTATCATGTATCAAATCACAATAATATGAGGTGAGATTATTGTTTGTGATGCTGCTACACGTTAAATGAACATCAAGTGGATGAAGAAGCACGAACAAGATTCAGTCACAAGAACGATTCAAAACTTCTAAACTGAATAAAATATTTTATGAATCCAATCTTACTGGCTGTTTATTTTCAGATATAAACATAACATGCTCATTTGGAATAGAATAAAAGAGAAGACTGACTGCCGACGAAAGAATGATAAAGTAAATTACTTTGAATGGACATGCTCGTTCGGTGACTATATTGGGATAGTATTCACGAAAATACGGGTGGTGAATAGCTTCATCGACAGTGATTCGCTCTTCAGGATCCATTGCAGCCATCTTTGCGATCAGATCCAATGTTACTGGCTGGTCAGCACGATCACGGATGATCTCCTCCCATGGCCTTATCGGATGATCACCGAAATTTTCAATCAGTCGACGTGTCCTTTCGCACCCGATTTGGCGTAAAATCTGAATAACACCATTGAATGAAACAGTGATAATACCACACAAAGTGAGCGTTAAAGGTTGATACCAAACATGTTGTGCTCAATTTCAAATGAACATAAGGTGAACACGAACCTTTTCAGATGGTGCGCCTAACATAGTGACAATTATTTTGATTTGACCGCTAACGCTCCGGCCTGGGAACAATTCACGGCGAATAATCATTTCAGCAAAAATGCACGCAACCGCCCAGATATCAACTGCTGTAGAGTGCTCTGGCATCACGAAAAGAAGCTCCGGAGCCCTAGAAAAGATTCGTGACAATAATAAGGATATTCATAATTCTAGCTTTAATAATCATTGTTACTATTACATCAACGATAATGAACAGAAATATTTAAAACAGCAACAACAGTAATGGAGATGTGCTCATCAAAGGCGAAAGTCACTGATGGAAAATGAACATTCAGCAAGGCTTTTATCTATCAGCATTAAAAGCCTCCCTTTAGCCAAACATTGCATAAAGAAATCGATTGTGAATGATACTAGTGATTGATGTTTCACAGCAATTACTATGCATGACGTTTCTCAAAAGTTAAAGCTTTGTGATTCAGCTCAGCATAAACGGCATTCAGAAAATGAACGATGGAGTCAATCACGAACAAAATGAAAGGTACCTATAGGGCAAGGTTGCAATGTGTTGAGTCATATAAAAGCAATGCTCCTCGGCTTCTTCGATATGATCTCGCATTGAGAGTTTAGCCATTCCAAAATCAGCAATACGGAGATGGCAATCACTATTAACAAGCAAATTGGATGGTTTCAAATCTCGATGGGCGATTCCGGCTGTATGAAGGTACTGAAATATCGAAAAAGCGAAAAGTTTGTTATTATTAACAAACATTCTAACAATTAGTTTGAAATCATACCATAAAAAATAAGCAAAACAATATTCTGTATAAGTAGACACATTAGGTATAAATTTTTGTGAAATTTTCTCATTTTTGAAAGTGACGTCATATCTTTGTGAAAAAGCGATGAATTTTATGGTTCGATGAGCATGCCGATAACATAAAATTTAGAGTTAAGATCAAATAATTTACTGCTTCAAGGTCTTTCTTGATCAAATTAAACGGCGAATTGCCTCATATTACAAGAAATATGTTTGAAAAAAATCAGACAGGTTCTGATTCGATTGGATCGAGGTGAACGAAAATCGAATCAGTAGGATGATGAATGAATCCAAAATGAAACAAATATTTCAAAATATTTAGAAAACAGGCTAATAACTGAAAAAATTACAGAAAGAAATTACCCTAAGACCCCTAAGAATCTGATAAAGGAAATGAGCAATAAGATCATCCTCCATCGGACCGCCACCATGAATTACATGATGCAAACTGCCTTCCATTAAATCCATCACTAAATATACATTGATACCTAAAAACTGAATGTCATTCGGACAAATGTATACTTCTTGTTCCCATTTATTTGTTACGATTTCGAGGTTTAGGTAACTTGATAAAACTGAGAATAACTCATTAGAAATCAAAATATAAACAGTGTTTGAATGTGTAACTCAAGAACGAACCCAAGTTGCCCGGCGTACGAAAGATATCTCTGAGGTTGATGATATTATCATGCGATATATACCTCAGCACACGGATTTCACGAAGAGTCCGTCTAGCCAATGTTGGTGTTGCTGACGCATGACCTATTTTTTTGATTGCTACCTGAACGAAGAAATAACGGAATTTGATCGAATAATGGAGGGCATTATACTTTCATCAAAACGTAACCAACCTTATGGTGACTTACCTGCATTTTCAAAAAAAGGAACGGAGACGCACTGAATTATTCACAAAAAATTTTATTTTGGAATTCGTTAAAATTGTTACTACACGAAATTCTTTGAATGCATAAACTTATTCCAGAAATCATAACAACAAACTGTCACTCACAAGTATTACAATCGGAATGCGAGACTGATTCTATTCAAATTACCAGAATAACTCTTACTCTGTGTATTACTATGATCAGAGCAATAAAAATTTTGCTACTATGTTAGCGAATTCAAAACATCAGATCACAAGATAATCATGCAGCAGAATGCGAAGTTAATTTTTTCCATAAATATCAAGGACCTGAATATGATTTTGCGTTGCTGTAGCGTGATCTAAATCAGTGTTTCTTATAGGGAGGCAAATCATCTCCTGGGAGGTAATCTGGAGGCGTCAGGGGTATAAATGAACTTGTTGACAAATTTCAATGTTTTCATCGCTGACGGATGCTTTTTTTTGATTGCTTTTCGCAACTATTTGCTGAGATTCATATTCTTTCTGCAACTGACAAGCAAAGTTCAACAAACACTTATTTTATTCCATAAAATTGATTTGGTTCACATCACCGAGGATTTTACAGACCACTTTCGATTTGCTTCTGATGTTATGCGTGGAAATGGTGAATTATAAGGGAGTAATAACGGCCTGCCAGACTATCGAAGGGATTAATGGAGCTTCCAAGCGTGAGAAGTACTCACCTAATGGAATCGCGTGGGGAAGATTTTAAAAACTTATGAAAGGGAATTGAGAACAACGGACCAGTGTCTGGCTCGATTACCACTTTCAGTGCAGTAGAGAAATTTCAACAATAAATGCTACCTTAGTATCGGAGCCAGTTTCGACAGCTTCACATACAATACCAAAGGCTCCAGCACCAATATTTCGAATCGCTTCGTAGCTATTACCCGCACCACCAAATTGAAAATCAAGCAAAAGTTGACGTTTCGCAAGATCGTCCAATATTCGATTGAACGCTGGTGTAGCGGTGGGCATTGCTGAAATTCAACAACGCAAACAATGCGAGATTTGAAAGTTAACAGTTATTACAACGATAACAAATTCACTGAAACTCATCGACACGCAATGAACGCACTATATAGCTGGCTGCTCTCTGTGCAGTTATGCAGTAAGCACAAGAGATGGAAAGTCAAGTTATCATAAAAAGAAACAAGAGCAATTTCATTCGTTATCTTAGAATGTGAGTTTGCTGGAAGAGTACATAGAAACGCTGAGTGACGGGTTAAATGGCACAAATAAATTGCGTCAACTTTAAACATTCATTCATCTGGTTGCATGAATTTCTTGAATGTGCAAAAAAACCTGCAACACCGGAAAGCACCTCCAGCAATTTCAATGTGTAACGGACCTGGTGATTTAAACTTGACAATAATGACTGAATACTGCTGATGAATGATACATTCAGTAGCTTGTTTAGTTTTCGGGACTAAAAAATTTTATGAAATCAGCAATAATACATTGCGACAATGTGCTGAAGTGGAATGGACGAGAAGAGCAAACAGATAATTTTTATTTTGTGCCCACACATTCTCAATAGTATTCACCCCTTTGTTTCACTTATCGAACAATTGTTGTCTGAGGTATTCATTATACAACTATCTGTTACTTTGGCGTTCGTCTTTTTAAAAATCTATCGACATCTACAATACGAGCGCATTTTTCAACTCTACTTAGTCATATAAATAACAACAAAAAAAGCAAATACAGTCGTCAATCGACCAGAGGAAAGCACTTTGCTTAAAATGATATTTCATATTCACTCCATCTGATTTCCCCTTTACATGCATCTTTCGAACAGAAAGTACTAGAAATACGTCTGATAAGACACAAAAAGCACTGCTTATCAGCTAGAGTGTTTATAACAGGGATGAGTTACAGTGCACATTTTTAGTTCCAGCGTGGTTTCGTAACTGACGAACACAATCATGTTCGGAAAATTGCGAAATATGAAACGCAAATAAATTTGACGCGACTCTCGCCGTACTCCAAAAAAGCAACGACTGGAATGATGGCTGGATTTCAAGTCGGCGTTGTTCATAAGTCACCTAATCAATCTGCGGCCCACGCGCTAACTGCGTCCCACAAAAGTTTCAAGTTCGGTCCTCGACGGTTTTTTGGAAAATAACTAGGATATAGCCCACACGCAGACCAAGTGTGACCTTCGAAGTCCCCTAGACATCTCGCGAGCTCTATTCCAAAATTGCATTAAGTGGTTACTTGAACATTCTCTTGCGTACATTCAATCAGCAAGGCCAATTCATAGGTCTTCCCAAGAATTGTACAAAGAATGCAAGCACTTGCGATAGAGAATTTTTTAAATAAACCTTTGAAAAATGGTGAAAATTTGTAAAAATGCATTTAACTGATGCAAATTGAAATTCTTTGTTTTAGAGCACTACATTTTGTGGATGATTTAGTGGTTCCAAAGTTTAGCTTACGAGCTTTCTGCTATCAAAATTTGGCCCGCGAGCGCTTTTAGGCTTGCCAGGCTTGGTTTTTTAGGCTGGTTGGCCTGGTCTCCACAGACTGAAGCGCTCCGACATAGCCATTTCCTTCAAAGAATGGTACAAAAGAGAGTAATGAACTCACTCGAAGTAATCAGAACTGAACACAACACACAATATAAAATAATTTTAGCTGATATTTTATTCGCTACAAATCATTGTCTATAAAATAAAGATGACGTTCAATGAAAATTCAAATGTTCTTCAATTCACATATGTTCTTCAAAACTGATCATATGCAGATATTCAAGAAATGAGGATAGCGCGTGCCTGAGCCCGAGACATTTCACATGATATCAGTGATGAATGCCAAAATATCAAAAAATACGACGCCACATTATTCGTTCATTCAACAATGATTCAGTAAACGCTCTGTAACTACCTATCTACCTAACAACAGCATTTGCACAAACATGCTGTGTGAAAAATGTAAGCATAACATCGAAATGATATAAATTTTTGTGAATCGAGACATAATCTTATTCACTTTATAATGACTGGTGAGGGGACGGGCAATCAAATGAAACAACGTGATATATTGGTGAAAAACTGGATGAGTTTTTTTTGCATTCATTTTATTGAATGCTTTAAGAAGGATGCAATAAAAGAGTTCGTTCAATCACACATATTCTCATTGTTCGGTAGTTTTTGTTGGAATATTCAAATTCAATACTGCACTCGAATAATAAAACTCACGACACGTTTTTGTGTTTGCATAAGTGAGTGAAAGCTAAATGGTGAATGGAAAACGATGCTTATCAGAATCGTGGTATTAAGGGCAAGTGAAAACGTTACACTGAACGTCTTAGACCAAATCGATTCAACAACAATCGACTTATATTCAAGCAGTATATGATATTCGAGGAGTTGGTGTTCGCGATGATTCATCTGTAGTTTTATGAACTCGCAATAAAAAGAATGATAATGATTGATGAAATTGAATTTCACGAATACATCACTGTCGGAACGTTTATAAATACGTCAACAAACACGTATCGTTTCGAAAGAATGATTTCAGAACATCAAAGAATGGAATTTACTCTTGCGTACGAAATATGCTGGACTTGGTAAAGTTTCGTTGGAATTCCAGAACGCTCGAAAAGTTTGCATAGGGTTAAACAAAAATGGCCATAAATCTTATCGACAACACAATAACACATCAAGTGAGAAATGAATCAATGAAAAACTGGTAAAACGTTAGCATGAAATGTGTTAACGCATAAATCAGCGCTGAGGAAATTTCGTGAATTTAAGAGTCGAACAAATTCAAGAAAGAATTATTAGCAATTGTAGAGAACAGTTAACGGATACAAACGCAAATTAAAAATGAGACAGTGACGCCAACGAAAAAAGCAACAACTCTAGTTGAGCAATGATTTTCGTAATCGTGCACTGAATTTTATAAAATGATGATGACTGAGAAATATTTCAGATATCCCTTCTCCTTCTTTCTCAAGAGACCAACATCATGATTTTTAACCAGCATCGAAACAAACGTTCATATCGTTTTCAAAGAATTCTTGTTGGTTTTAGTTATGTTACGAATACTCGCCGAATATTCCACAGTCAAATTTCAATCGGTTAATGCGAATTGTCAAACAATTGATAGTTTACACAATCGAAGAGAAATAACAAGGATACTTTCTCAGTGTAAACCTATCTAAACTGCCCGATTTATCAAACATTCGCCATCCACCCTTCATGCAACTGGGTAAATGAGTTGTCTATATTGTAATTTACGTGCTATGTATAATTGCCGCTAAATAAAAATCCATCTTTCATAATCTGCTCAAGAGAGCAATCAACGAAATGCCCACAACAGTTGCACTAAAAATGATTCCAATTTCCTGTGCATGACGCAAAAAGACAGTTTTTTAAAGCGACCATAAATTACTTGGATACCATTCAAACAACACAGTTGATTCACTCAACTGAACGGCAAACTTACGTATCATCCCACATGCATAAAAAAATCAAATCGCTTTGAAACAAATTAAAAGTTAACTGACCGTTTGAAGCTTATTTCCTTCACAAACAATTCAACTGTTATGAATCGTTTTGCAAGCGAACTTTGTTTCAAACGACAAAAAATAATCACTAAGCAAATAGCAGCTAACTACACCAATGAGTGATCGTGGGCGAATCAATGAATGGAATATATCTGTGATGATTGGATGAGTGGTGGGATGGATGGATGGATGGCACTGATTTTATGACTTTAATGGCCGTTAAACAATGCACTCCTTCAGAACATCATTAGTGTGTATCGTTCTTCAATATTCTATTATTGACAAATCTTGACTCGAGAGGACAACTTATTCATCGCTGAACCCGAATGATTATTCATTCTCTGACACATTTCTCATTCATACATTGCTATTCATTTCAACATTTATACGTCTTATTTTCTTCGTCATCAAATCAGCACTATATATATATATATATATATACGTGTATATATATA